TACTAAGCCACATCACACCTTACCAGTTACACCACGTGATTTTATACCACACTATCCTATCATATAAGCCACACTATATCAGACCATACCACTACTTACCATAAAATAGCAATACTTCAACTTACCAAATATACCAGACCGTACTATACTATACCACAATATTATTATACCCTTTGCCATATTAATCATTATATTATTATTATTATCATTATCATTCTTATTATATTAGAGAATACCACAAACTACCAGGTATACTTATAACTACACTATAGCTACACCATACAACCATGCTACCATAAAACACCATATATCTTACTAATAACTGCCACAGCCTTACAGAAATACCAGTCCACAATGCAAAATAAACAATTATACCACACAATACCAGCTATGCTTACCATACCATACCATGCCAAACCATACCACTCCATATAACCTAAATCAGTCATTCCATACATGCCAACCATACCACACAATAATCTCCCATTAACCATACCACATACCATACGATACAACACAATACAAAACCCTAGCGTCTTACCAACTGTACTGCATCATACAACGCAGTAAACTCCCATCACACGATCATACCTCACCATACCATATCCTACCAACATATGCAACATTACATGCTAAAAAAAAAATAATAAAATAAAAAATAACGTCAAAGGACTCACCATACCAGAACATACCATATCATACCTATAAAATACCACTCGGTATTCACAACCCGCGCTCTACCTTCCACAATACCACCAACCCAGACCACGCCCCCCAAAACCCACCTGTCTCCGCCCACAAGGATGACAGGATGAAAGGGACTGAAGGCGATGCAAGTGACCACGCCCCTCTTCTTCTGAACCACGCCTTGTACGCACAGAGGATGGCATATACGCACATGCAAGTCGTACACGTGTACACGCCCTTCGTCCGTCACCGCCACGAAGACGCTGCTGCTGTGGGGGGTCCAAGTCACCCCCGCCACCGCGCCCCCAAGGTCCAGCTGGATCAGGGGGGAGCTGTGGGGATAGGGGGGGGGTGAGATGGGGGTAGGAAGACGGGGTAGTTAGGGGGGGTGTAAGAGGGGGTAGTTAGGAGGGGGTAAGAGGGAGTAGTTTGGGGAGGAGTAAGAGGGGGTAGTTTAGACGGGGGAATTAAGAAGGGGTAGTTTGGACGGGTGGGGGGGGGGTAAGACGGGGTAGTTTGGGGGTAGTGGTAGTTGGGATTTGTATAAGGATAGTTAGGATATCTATGAAGATATTTTAAGGCTATGTGTATCATGGACAAGGAAAATAACCTCTGAGATAAAAAAAAAAAAAAAAAAAAAAACAGACATAGGTGTTAGAAAGAGAGAAAAAAAGAATATAACTAATTTAAATGGACCGCCCCAACACTCCACCCCCCCCCCCCCCCGAAAAAAAAAGAAAAAGAAAAAAGAAAAGAAACAAACAGCCAAAACAAGCAAACAACACCCCCCAAAAAAAGGTAACAAACAACCGAACTACACCCACTCACCCCCCCCCCCCAAAAAAAAGAAAAACAAACAACCGAACAAGCAAACAACGCACACGAAATCATGCTGCCACACTTTGACCGTCCAGTCGAGCGAGCACGTCACGAAGATCCCGTGGTGGTGCTTATTCCAGGACACCTGTCGGACGGGGGAGGTGTGGGCGGGGTAGCGGAAGAGGGTGTGGGTGGTGGAGGCGACGGAGCACTGGAAGACCGCCCCCGTGTCCGTTCCCAGAAGCATTATGTTCTGTGTCGGGGCGGAAGTCGATGCAGGTGGCCGCTCCTGGTGGGGGAGGAGAGATGGAGGGGTGAGAAAATGATTTTATTTTATTTTTTTATTTATTTTATTTATATTTTTTGTACGATTTGAAATAGAAGGGGAGGGGGGTTAGAGAGGTGGGCAAAGGAATTTATTTTTTTTGTACCGATTTTGCAATGGAGGAGGGCGGGGGGGGGGGTTAGAGAGATGGGAAAAGGATATTTTTTGTACCGATTTGGCAATGAAATGGAAATTAAATCTGTCTGTGATGGATAGCTCTTGTATAAGGTATATTGGAACGAATCTCAAAGCTAATGGAAATGAAATCTGTTTGTGGTGTAAATATACGGAATAGGATATATTTTTCAGGGTATAAAGGAACGATTCTTAGAGCTAACGCTGCCTGTGTTGTAGATTTAAACAGTAAACGGATTATGCTATATCTCGTTGGGTAAAATAGAATGACTCTCGAAGCAAAATTAAAATATAATTCTTTGCAGTGTTTTGTGGGGTTTCGTATCTCTAATGAGTTGAACTGCAATGATATTCAAAGAAAATGTAAATTAAATTAGTTCGTGGGATTTGGTTTATCTAGTGAGATGCACTGGATTTTTTTTTTCAAAGGAATTTCTTCGATAGGTATGAAAAAAGATGAGAAGCTGCATTGCGTTTTTGTTCGTCGTTATATCACAGCAACAGTTTATTAGCGATGGGAACTGAAATATGGCGATCGATACCGTAGACTTTTAATCAATATATTCCGATTCCTATTTGAGGACAATATATATACACATCTGATTACGTGAATACATAAAACCCGAGATTTAGTGAATTAGAATAAATGCGCATGATGTTTATGTGCTCAATGGAATGACAGCAAAATATTTCTATTCCGAAAAGAGGATGCATACAAGAGGCTTGTTATGACTAACTGAAAGCCTCGATATCATTATCTTATTTGAAATATGAATAATTAATTACGAAATTATTATCATTACCTCGCCTGTCATGTCATTAATTACAAGCAAACTGCCAAATTCATCTTCCACTTGACAAAATAAAAGAGAGAGAAAAATAAAAACGGACAAAAATACCTCCCACCTTCCAACACCACCTTATCCGACGAGGAGTGCAGCTTGGTGGGCTGTCTGCAGGAGGCGAAGTCGAGGACGTCCCTGTGGACCAGGCCGGCGGAGTGGAGGTGCCACTGCGTCACGCGGCCGTCCAGGGAGACGGAGAAGAAGCAGAGTTCCTCCCCCGGCTGCGTGCGGATCCATCTCACCTGAAGGGCCGGGAGACAGATGGTGTTAGGAGCGGCCGGTCTGTTGACTTTGTAAACATAAAGGACACGGTCGTCAGACAAGAGAGGAGAGCAGACGGAGGCAGGGCAGACGGCAGACAGACGACGGTCTCGCTCGTCACCGCTCCGCCCTTGGCACGCAGGGCACGGGTCTCTCGTGGGGTCACACATCTCCCTCCCCAATAAACCCTCCTGCCAAGTCCCCTTTCATTTACCTGCACCACCCCCAACTTCTTACGATGACATCTGTCGGCTAGCGGTGGGCGAACCTCTATGCCCCCAACATCTTACGTTGAGATATACACAGAAATAAATGCATATCTATCAGTCTAAACATGTATATCTACGGATGACAGATAAATGTTTATCTATGAGATAGAAAAATATGCATTTATTTGCATGTCTTTCATATATGAATATTCATTCCGTCGGCGGCTCGCACAATTTCAACGGATCGGCCACAGGAAAGCAGAGATGGTGATGGTAACAGAAATGGTAAAATGTATCATCGTGATACGTGATGGCGTTGGTATGACAGCGAAGAAGACTATGATAGCGAAAATAGCAGTGATAATGACACCGGTGATAATAACATTGACATGGTGGTACCTGTGATGATAACGCAGTTTTCCATCTCACGAGGGGGTCGAGTTTGAGAGGAAACTTTTATTTTGCAAAGGTAGCTGTGATGATGACAAAGATATAACATCAGCAATGTTCATTATCACGATACCGGTACCAATGTGATGATGACACTTCGCTTCCATTATACTTGGCTTTTGACTTTGAAACGTTTATTGAGACAAAAAAAAAAAAAAAAAAAAAAAAAAAAAAAAAAAAAAAAAAAAATCTCAAGGATGAGTAACTTAGGTCATCCTCACCCCTCCAATTTGAATACGTCCCTATATGGGGCTCACATTCATACAAACAAAAAATTCAGTATACAACAACAGTTAAGAATATACACAATACTTCGAATTCCAAAAAATAAAAGTAATATANCCAACATCTTACGTTGAGATATACACAGAAATAAATGCATATCTATCAGTCTAATGTATATCTACGGATGGACAGATAAATGTTTATCTATGAGATAGAAAAATATGCATTTATTTGCATGTCTTTATATATGAATATTCATTCCGTCGGGCCTCGCACAATTTCAACGGATCGGCCACAGGAAAGCAGAGATGGTGATGGTAACAGAAATGGTAAAATGTATCATCGTGATACGTGATGGCGTTGGTATGACAGCGAAGAAGACTATGATAGCGAAAATAGCAGTGATAATGACACCGGTGATAATAACATTGACATGGTGGTACCTGTGATGATAACGCAGTTTTCCATCTCGCAGGGGGTCGAGTTTGAGAGGAAACGGTTTTATTTTAAAGCAAAGGTAGTGTGTGATGATAAAGATATAACATCAGCAATGTTCATTATCACGATACCGGTACCAATGTGATGATGACACTTCGCTTCCATTATACTTGGCTTTTGACTTTGAAACGTTTATTGAGACAAAAAAAAAAAAAAAAAAAAAAAAAAAAAAAAAAAAATCTCAAAGGATGAGTAACTTAGGTCATCCTCACCCCAATTTGAATACGTCCCTATATGGGGCTCACAATTCACACAAACAAAAATTTAAGTATAACAACAGTTAAGAATATACACAATACTCGAATTCCAAAAAAGAAAAACAAGCAACATACCTGAGTGACCTTTGAATTCCAAAAAAGAAAAACAAGCAACATACCTGAGTAACCCTGAGTACCTTTGAAAAAAAAGAAAAAGCACATACCTGAGTGACCTTTGAATTAGAAAAAAGAAAAACAAGCAACATACCTGAGTGACCTGCATGAGGTGCTTCCCCCTGACCGGCGACGAGCAAATGGGCGGGGCGTGGCGAGGGGCCTTCACGTCGTACACCACCACGGAGCCGTCGGTTCGCCCGGCAACCAACATGCTGCCGTGCTGTGGAGGAAGGGGGGAGGGGAGGGGAGGGGGGAAATGGAAGGGGGAGGGAGGGAAGAGGGAGAGGGTCAATGGGGAGGGAGGAGGGAGGGAGAAGGTAAATTGGGGGGAGGGAGGGAGGGAGAGGGTAAAGAGGGAGGGGAAGGGAAAGGGAGGAGCGATGGGGAATGGGGATGAGGAGGGGAGGGAGGAGGGAAAGGTAAATGGGGAGGGAGGGAGAGTGTAAAGGGGGAGGGGTGAGGGCGAATGGGGAGGGGGAGGGAGGAGGCGTAATGGGAATGAGCGAGGGTGGAGGGGGGGAGGTGAAAGCAAGGGAAAGGGAGGGGGCAGGGGATGGGAGGGAAAAGGAAAAGGTAGAGGGAGGGTAAGGAGCGGAGAAGGGGAAAGGGATAGAGGAGAGGGAGTGCGGGGAAGGGCAAAGGGAGAGGGGTGAGTAAAAGGAGAAAGGGCAATGGGAGTAGCAGTTAGGGGGAGGGAGATAGCAAGGGTAGGGGAAGGGGAGAGAGAGGGCAAGGGGAGGGAGAGAAAGAGAAAGGAAGGGGAGAGGCAAGAAAATTACAAGCGACACACATAAGGCTTTGAAAATATACCAATAATAATATCAATGATAATAATGAAATAATAACAACAATAATAATTGATATAATGATCATAATGATAATATCAGTAATAATATTAATGATAATGGTAATAATGATAACAATAATAACAATAATAGAAGTAGTGATAGTACTACTACTAGTAATGACAATAATATTATATTATCATCATATTCTAAGGATAATAATCGTAACAATAACATTAGCAATGGCAACGGCAGCAATAATAATAATAACAATAATAATAACAACAATAATAACGATAATATATCAATAAAGCAACAATAAGAAACACCAAAACAAAAAACAATAACAACAAACAATATCAACAACAACAGCAATATTTCTCGAACCTACTTCTCGAACCCTTTTCCCAAACCCATTTCTCTAACCTATTTCTTGAACTTATTTCCCGAATCTATTTCTCGAACCTATTTCCCGAATGCTTTCCTAACCTGTTTCTCGAACTTATTTCCCGAATTCATTTCTTAAACCATTTCTCGAACCCATTTCTTAAACCCATTTCTTGAACCCATTTTTCGAACCCATTTTGAACCCATATCCCGAACCTACACTCTCTCTCACCCTTCTTTCCCCCTCCCCATCCCTCACCCCCACTCCCAACCCCCCACTCCCCCACCCCACTCCCTACCCCCCTCCCCCCACCCCATCCGCAACCAAACCTGCGGGTGGAACCTGGCCGTGACGACTCCGAAGGGCGTGTGGAAGACTCGTTCGGGCGTGGAGGGACTCTTGAGGGTGTAGAGACACAGCATCCCGCCCATCTCCTCTCCTCCGCCGTCCACTCCTGTGATATGGTGGTGAGTAATGGTGGTGGGGTGGTGGTGAGTGGTGGTGGTGAGTAATGGTGGTGGTGAGTAATGGTGGTGGTGAGTAATGGTGGTGGTGAGTAAAGGTGGTGGTGAGTAATGGTGGTGGTGAGTAAAAGGTGTGTGAGTAATGGTGGTGGTGAGTATGGGGTGAGTAATGGTGGTGGTGAGTAAAGGTGGTGTGAGTAATGGTGGTGGTGAGTAAGTGGTGGTGGTGAGTATGGTGGTGGGAGTGGGTGGTGAGTGATGGTGGTGGTGAGTGATGGTGGTGGTGAGTAAGGTGGTGGTGAGTAAAGGTGGTGGTGAGTAAAGGTGGTGGTGAGTAATGGTGGTGAGTAATGTGGTGGTGATTGGTGGTGAGTGGTGGTGGTGAGTAATGGTGGTGGTGAGTGATGGTGGTGGTGAGTAATGGTGGTGGTGAGTGATGGTGGTGGTGAGTGAGTAAAGGTGGTGGTGAGTAAGGTGGTGGTGAGTAATGGTGGTGGTGAGTAATGGTGAGTGGTGGTGATGAGTAAGGTGGTGGTGATGGTGGTGGTGAGTAATGGTGGTGGTGAGTAAGGTGGTGGTGAGTAATGGTGTGGTGAGTGAGGTGGTGGTGAGTAAAGGTGGTGGTGATAAGGTGTGGTGAGTAAAGGTGGTGGTGGTTGGTGTGGTGAGTAATGGTGGTGGTGAGTAATGGTGGTGTGAGTAAAGGTGGTGGTGAGTAATGGTGGTGATGAGTGGTGAGTAATGGTGGTGGTGAGTAATGGTGGTGGTGAGTGATGGTGGTGGTGAGTAATGGTGGTGGTGAGTAAGGTGGTGTGAGTAAAGGTTGGTGGTGAGTAATTGGTGAGTGGTGAGTAATGGTGGTGGTGAGTAATGGTGGTGAGTGGTGGTGTGAATGGTGGTGAGTGAGTGGTGGTGGTGAGTAATGGTGGTGGTGAGTAATGGTGGTGGTGAGTGGTGGTGAGTAATGGTGGTGGTGAGTAATGGTGGTGAGTGAGTAATGGTGTGTGAGTGATGGTGGTGGTGAGTAAAGGTGGTGGTGAGTGATGGTGGTGGTGAGTGAATGGTGGTGGTGAGTAATGTGGTGTTGGTGTAATGGTGGTGTGAGTGATGGTGGTGGTGGAGTAAAGGTGGTGGTGAGTAATGGTGGTGGTGAGTGATGGTGGTGGTGGTGGTGGTGAGTGTGGTGGTGGTGAGTAATGGTGGTGGTGAGTGATGGTGGTGGTGAGTGAGTAATGGTGGTGGTGATGATGGGGTGGTGATAATGGTGGTGGTGAGTGGTGGTGGTGAGTAATGGTGGTGGTGAGTGATGGTGGTGGTGAGTGTGGTGGTGAGTAATGGTGGTGGTGAGTGATGGTGGTGGTGAGTAATGGTGGTGGTGAGTAATGGTGGTGGTGAGTATGGTGTTGTGAAGTAATGGTGGTGGTGAGTATTGGTGGTGGTGAGTAATGGTGGTGGAGTGATGGTGGTGGTGGTAATGGTGGTGGTGAGTAATGGTGGTGAGTGATGGTGGTGGTGAGTAATGGTGGGTGAGTGATGGTGGTGGTGAGTAGGTGGTTGGTGGTGGTGGTGAGTAATGGTGGTGGTGGGTGAGTAAAGGTGGTGGTGAGTAATGGTGAGTAATGGTGGGTGGTGAGTAATGGTGGTGTGAGTAAAGGTGTTTGGTGAGTGGTGGTGGTGAGTAATGGGGTGAGTGATGGGGTGGTGAGTAAGGTGGTGTGAGTAATGGTGTGGTGAGTGATGGTGCGGGAGTAATGGTGTGGTAATGGTGGTGGTGGAGTATGTGGTGGTGAATGATGGTGGTGGTGAGTAATGGTGGTGGTGAGTGATGGTGGTGTGAGTGATGTGGTGGTATGAATGGTGGTGAGTAATGGTGTGGTGAGTAATGGTGGTGTGGTAGTAATGGTGGTGGTGAGTATGGTGTGGTGTGGTAATGGTGGTGGGAGTGATTGGTGTGGTGAGTAAATGGTGGTGGTGGTGATGGTGTGGTGGTGATGGTGGTGGTGAGTAAAGGTGGTGGTGAGTAAAGGTGGTGTGAGTAATGGTAGTAATGGTGGTGGTGAGTATGGTGGTGGTGGTAGTAAAGGTGGTGGTGAGTAATGGTGGTGGTGAGTAAGGTGGTGGTGAGTGATGGTGGTGGTGAGTGGGTGGTGGTGAGTAAAGGTGGTGGTGAGTAAAGGTGGTGGTGAGTAAAGGTGGTGGTGGTGGTGGTGAGTAATGGTGGTGGTGAGTAAGGTGGGGTGAGTAAAGGTGGTGTGAGTAATGGTGGTGGTGAAGTAATGGTGGTGGTGAGTAATGGTGGTGGTGAGTGATGGTGGTGGTGAGTGATGGTGGTGGGTGAGTAAAGGTGGTGGTGAGTAAGGTGGTGGTGGTGGTGTAGTAATGGTGGTGGTGAGTAAAGGTGGTGGTGAGTAAAGGTGTGGAGTGTGTGGTGGTGAGTAATGGTGGTGGTGAGTGGTGGTGTGAGTAATGGTGGTGGTGAGTAATGGTGGTGTGAGTAAAGGTGTGTGAGTGGTGGTGAGTGAGTAAAGGTGGGTGGTGAGTAGTAATGGTGGTGGTGAGTATGGTGGTGGTGAGTAAAGGTGTGGTGAGTATGGTCGGTGGTGAGTGATGGTGGTGGTGAGTGTGTGGTGAGTAATGTGGTGGTGAGTGATGGTGGATAAGGGGTGGTGAGTAATGGTGTGGTGAAGTGTGGTGGTGGTGAGTAATGTGGTGAGTAGGTGTGGTGTAATGTGGTGGTGAGTAATGGTGGTGGTGAGTGATGGTGGTGGTGAGTAGGTGGTGGTGAGTGGTGAGTGATGGTGGTGGTGAGTAATGGTGGTGGTGAGTAAATGGTGGTGGTGAGTAAACATGGTGGTGTGGTGAGTGGTGGTGGTGAGTAATGGTGTGGTGGTGATGGTTGGTGAGTAATGGTGGTGGTGAGTAATGGTGGTGGTGAGTGATGGTGGTGAGTAAAGGTGGTGGTGAGTAATGGTGTGGTGAGTATGAAAAGGTGGTGTTAATGGTGAGTGTGAGTAATATGTGTGGGTGAGTAATGGTGGTGGTGAGTAATGGTGGTTGGTGGAGTAGAATGGTGGTGAGTAATGGTGGTGGTGAGTAATGTTGGTGGTGGTGATGTGGTGGTGAGTAATGGTGGTGGTGAGTAATGGTGGTGGTGAGTAAGTAATGGTGGTGGTGAGTAATGGTGTGTGAGTGGTGGTGGTGGTGGTGGTGAGTAATGGTGGTGTGGTGGTGATGGTTGGTGGTGGATGGTGGTGAGTAATGGTGGTGGTGAGTAAGGTGTGGTGAGTAATGGTGGTGGTGAGTAATGTGGTGGTGATGGTGTGTGAGTATGGTGGTGGTGAGTATGGTGTGGTGAGTAATGGTGGTGGTGAGTGATGGTGGTGGTGAGTGGTGGTGGTGGTGAGTGGTGTGGGTGAGTAATGGTGGTGGTGAGTAATGGTGGTGGTGAGTAATGGTGGTGGTGAGTAATGGTGGTGGTGAGTTGAAGGTGATGGTGGTGGTGAGTAATGGTGGTGGGTGATGATTGGTGTGTGAG